GAGGAGGACGATTGGATATTAACTAGAAGGAAGGCACTCATCGACCAACCTTTTTCCTAGTGTTAGAACAAGGAGAGGAAAGGAGGCTGCAGGGAGAAGCCAGAGAGGGGAATATTGCAGAGGGCTAGGGAGCAGCAGCCAATGCCGAAAGGGCACTATCAGCGCTAATAGCAGCAGAGGCTAGAGCCAGTGTTGAGGCAGTCATGGCTACCACCTCTACACAAGTCTCCTCTCAAGCATCTTGGACAGGTGCCAATCAAGGAATCTCCCAGGCTTTCGTTAGTCAATCTGCTGGCCTGCAGGTGAGCCAGCAGCAGCCAATGTCAGATGATGATTACGAGGTCCAAGAAACGAATGCTCTCCATGATCAGTTACGGCGCCAGTTGCGGGAAGTAGAAGAAAGGAGAGATATACCAAGACTTATAAAAGCTAGACAGGAGGCAAGGGGAGAGGAGTTAGGTCAATTAGAAGCTATAGATTAGTCAACTCGCGCAGTCTCTTCGAAACTATCTTTTGAGTGTTGATGAAGTCCGAGCTATGCAGCAAGAGATGTTGGCGGCACTAATAGCAGGTCAAAATCAGATTCCGACCACACTGCGGGCGCCACAACCTCAGGTCGGGCAGCCACAATATGTGTAGCTCCCCTGACGGTTGTAGGTCCCACCGTGACGCTGCAGCCGATAGGGCAACCCTTTACACCCTAGTTTGGCATACCCATATCAGGTGGTCTAGTAGCAGGTAGTAGTGGGCAGGTTCCTGCACAACCTTCTTCATTTCCTCAACCGGTGGTTGCCGCTACACGGCAGCCACAATTGCGACAACATTTGCAACAGGTAGCAACAGGAGCAATTGCCGCCGCAACGACTTGTCCCACCGGTTTCACAACCGGTGCAGTAGGTTTAAGGAATTGTACCACCCATGAAGTGGACACCCAAGATACCCTTGTTGAGTCCTAAATCCTTCTCTGGTGACAAAAAGAAGGAAGAGGACCTGGATAACGGGGTGAGAACTGTGCCAACTTATGTGAGGCACAAAATCTCTAGGAAAGAGGAGGAAGTCATTGTAGCTGCGTCCTTTCTAGAAGGATATGCAGCCAGATGGTTGAATGGGTTAGTACAGCAGCAGGGCTACAGTCATAACTTTTGATGGCTCGACACATGCGAGATCATTGGAGTTCTTACGGTTAGTATATAGTAGGTGGCATGACCCCCAAGGGGCTCAGAAGGCCACCGACTCTCTAGCTAGTCTGGGATGAAAGAGATACTGGACAAAACAGAAAGTAACAGACGTTGTAAAGGGATTGATCGTGGTTCTCAACATGCGGTACGAACCCCGAGTACTCTTGGCGAGTTACTTGCGATGTCTGCCTACAAATGTCAGAAATAAGTTGGTTGATGAGGCCGCCATCGACATGCAAGACTTTGCTTCATTCAACTAGAAGGCCTTAGGCCTTGAGGCGTGGCTTGGGAGTGCCCAGCAGGGATCGGTAGATGGGAGAAACAAGCTCCCTCAAGATTGAAAGAAGGGCAACCTCATGTTTGTTGACCATGACGGTCAAGCGATTGAGATTGACGACTTCTCTGGCCTTGGGGAAGTAACAAAATTGGATGGGGTTGGAGGCACTTCAGATGGTGGAGTAGTCACTCTTGTCAGGGGAATGGAGAAGGGGGGCGGAAAACAGAAGGGTGACGTAAGGGTCAATATGACTAAGGTACACCCATATGGGTAAAACTTGGTCTAGAGTATGAGGTTTGGCGAGACCGTGTTGCACGAGGTGCTTGCGTGAACTGTGGCCAGTATGGTCACACCATGGCTAAGTGCAAGAGGAAGTGGGTCACTACGAAGGTCACGTCCTCAATAGTGACGGTTGAATCTTCCAACTCTGGTGGTGCTTCTGCGAGGATTTCCCAGGGAAACACCTCGGGCCAGTAGGAGTGTTAGCTGCTCGTACACGTGCTGAACTGGTAACTTTACCTTCTCCATTTCAGACGAAGGCCAAGGTTATTGACCCATTGATCGCCCCGGAGAAAGATCTAGACCAATGGATGCCTTGTTCGATGGATGTGTCTGAGTCCATAGAGGAGTTAGAAATTGAGTGGTTAGAGAAAGACCCTAGAGACTCCTGAGCGATGTTGAACAAAGGTTCAAAAGGTGAACTTTTCGTGGTAGCTGGCCGAAAGGTTGGCGCCTTCGCAGACATAGGTTGTACACAAAATTTCATCAGCCGTGCTTGTGTAGATAGGTTGCAATTAGGGGACCAAGTGCAATGGCTTAGCACATTTGTGGCATCTACCTTGGCAAACAAACACTCAATAGTAACAAAGGACTTTGTCAAGGACGTAGTCTTGTCGAATGGAGGAGGGAAAATGAGACACAAGATTTTGTTCCTAGTTAGCGACGAGCTGCCATTCGACATGTACTACCTTGGGGTTTCTAAGCCTCAGTTCGATTGGGATGGGAAGGTAATTATCCATAAGTTAACAGATGGAAGGACCGTTAGACTGCAAAAGTGTGAGGCAAGCAAACTAGTGGAGAACTATGGTTGCATGTGTGCCTCATCTTTCTATAACTACTACAAGGAAAATCGCGAGGAAGGTATGTGCTTAATCGTTGTCTCTGAAAAAGAAGAGGCTGTAAAATCACCCCCAAAGATAGATGCAGTCGTTGCATAGTATTCAGACCTTTTTTAAGAGCCTAGGGGTGTGCTGGAAAGGGAGATTGTCCATCCGATAGAAGTTGTCCATGGTAGCAAAGTGCCTAGAGGACGAATCTATAGGATGTCTTCGGCGGAGTTAGATGAGCTCCGCCGCCAGCTCAAGTAGCTCACAGAGAAGGGCTGGATTCGATCAAGTACGTTCCCCTATGGAGAGCCGGTTTTATTTGTCCCAAAGAAAGGGGGGACCCTAAGGATGGGCATTGATTATAGGGGCCTCAATGCCAGCACCGTTAAGAACGTGGAGCCCCTACCCCGCATTGATGACCTCTTGGATAGAGTGCAAGGATGGCGGTACTTTACTAAGACAAATCTGAAGTTCGGATACCATCAGATTGCAATTAGACCCGAGGGTCAGCACAAAATCGCCTTTCAGACCGGGTATGGTCTGTATGAGTTTGTGGTGATGCCCTTTGGCCTATGCAATGCTCTTGGGACGTTCCAGCACGCAATGAACCGGATCTTTCATGAGTGCTTAGACAAGTTTATCGTGTGTACCTCGACGATATTCTTATTTTTAGGAGGACTGTAGAGGAGCACGCTGAGCACGTGAAAACATTGCTAGGGATCCTATGACATCACCAGTACAAGGTTAACTTGGAGAAATGCAAATTTGGTCTCACCAAGATATTGGACCTGGTCATGAGATTTTTTGCGGATGGTTTGAGGCAGGACTAACATCGTCAGATATTCCAAACTCAATCACTAGCGCGCCCAGATAGTCTTCTCTTCGCGATAGTCCGTGAGCCACTTTATTGTACTCTCCCTTTAGAGGGTCGAGCTTGAATGCATACATGTCTATAACTTCAATCCACCCCTTGCATGCGTCGGAGAGCACGAGTTGTGCCTTGATCCAACGCGGTGTCTCATGGTCAGATCTCACATACAAGAATTTGCCTAGGAGGTAGTGCCTCCAATGGACCAGCGCTCTGTAAAGGGCATAGAGCTCACGCTCATACGTGGACTTATTTATGATACGGCATCTTTTTGCTCATGTGCTCAATCGGCCTTAACATTTTCCTCTCCTTCTGTGCAAGGACCGCACCTATGCCATATTGGCTGGCGTCAGTGGTCACAACAATGGGTTGTTCAGGATCCGGAAGCTTGAGGACTTCTTAGTGCGTCAGTGTAGCGGACCCACCAGGTGTGGTGCTCCGCAAGGGATGATGATGGAGATGGAGGATAAGGGAGGAGCGAGATAGCACAACTCAACTCCCACGCAAGACTCCAGTGCGCGTACTCCAAAATTGTGCAAGTGTAGAATGATCTCGAAAACAGACAATTGTTGGGGTATACCCCAGCGGACTGACGGGACTGGATTGGACTGGCTGGTACCGACAGAGGTACCGACCTGGACTGGACTGCCCCGAATAAAACACAGGCCTGTGAGAACAGGCCAAGGGGATGGTCTCACAGGCCAACCAGAGGTCCGCTACGCGATCCTCGGCTTGTGATGGATCGCCTAGATACAAGCACGCTTCCGCCAAGAAGCGGAACTCTACCAAAGAAAAAGAAAACCTGAGTAGTCTAGGATGCGGAGCGAGCTCCATGCTGAGTCCATGTGATGCAACCTAGGATATAAAATGTCACAAAACGGCAATGTCACAGCTAACAGCCTAAGTAAAAGCAGAAGCAACTAACTAGCATACATGTCCTCGGAAAGCAGAAAGTAGTGACAACTAGATCCTAGAATGTTGGAGGCAATAGCCTCAGTCTGGAACAGCTGACTTAGTGTATAAGTCCTAAGAACAGCAAATCAGAACAACTAAATCCTAGAAATGTGAGAGGCAGTAGCCTCAGTCTGAGAGCAACAAAGCAACCATATGTCACATGAGAAGTGTGTCGCAAACCAAAGGGTGGGATGTTCTCTGAGGGTGGCGAATGCAGCCTAGGGGTCGAAAACTCCTAAGGGCATCGACACAGAGTGACAGGGGGAATACATGTCATCAAGCTCAATGAGGGTAGGGAACTGGGAGCGAACAGAACCAATGACCCTAACAGATAGCCCATCAGGGCGGGTAAAGCTCGACTAAGGGGTGGCCGCAATGGAGGGTCGACCAAGCAAGGGCACAAGGGAGCCTGGTATACTCGGCGCACCTAGATGAAGCATGCGGGGCTGCCTAACTAGGGCGTGAGGGCCGGCAGAGGGTAGAAAGGTGATGGGTAAGGGAATCATGCAAATGACTCCTAAAGTGAGGGAAGTCGGAGCTAGATCCGTAAGATGGGAAGCCAGGGAAACGCTACGGTCCCGATGCCTATGCGTATACCAAGGGAGAGCCCAACTCACAGGAACCCGGCTAAATTGAGACCATCATGCGACACAAGCAGGGTACTGTACAGGGTAAAGTGGTGAGGGAGCGACGACGTCTGAAGTAGGCAGAGCTGATCGTGACGAAGTCCATGAAGCTGTCGATGACGTCCACGATGAGGAGTCTGGAATGCCGTCGAGGAAGAGCCGCAATGTCGACGAGCTGAAGTAGCAAAACTGGAGTGGATGGAGTACTGAGAAGTCAAAGACGTGGGAAGGTAAGTCAGAGTCAATCGTCGTATCGAGAAGGACGACATCCGGCTGCTGCTGAAGGTCTGCCTCAGATGGAGCAGGCTCGACTTCAGCGGTAGCCTCAACCGGGAGAGGAGGAGGGTCAGTGGGCTGAGGAGGAGCGGTGAACCCAGCACGACGAGCACGATCATAGCCACACACCAACATGCGAGCATGCTGCAAGTGCTCGAGGGGCTCCCAGGTGGCCTCCTCATCAGGATAACCCTTCCAACGTACTAGATACTCGACGTGGGAAGGGTTGTCGTTGGTGACTCGGCGACCAATGATGTCTGAAACGAGGAACTCGTCGTGGCCGTCCACCATGATGGGTGGAGGGCGCTCGTATGGTCGTCCAACGAAACGCTCAGACGGTCTGCGATAAGGACGCAGTAACGAGACGTGGTAGACATCGTGCACACGAGCCTGGCGTAGGTAGTCAGGCAGCTTCACACGGAAGCTGACCGAGCTAGAAGCCGTATCAGAACCGTCGGCTTGGAGGATGCGGCATGGTCCAAAGAAGCGACGCCGAAACTTGCGAAGCGTGTTCGCTTCGAGCTGTAAGTGGCGGGCGTCGATAAGCACATCATCACCGACTTTGACTGGATGATTCATCCTCGATCGGTTTGCACGTGCGCCCATGCGAGTCTGGGAAGCGGCTATGTGCTCATGTGCGGTATTCATGATCGATGTCATATGTGCAACCCAATCGTCCACCGCGGGACAACTCGTGTCGGGGTGCATCTGTGACGGTCGAAGGAAGTCGGCGGGAACACGAGGGTGATAGCCGAGGTCACAATAGTAAGGCGACATCCCCGTGGCTGGCGAGACGGCGTGGTTGTAGGCTATCTCCGCGTGGGCAAGATGGAGATCCCACTGCTGGTCGTCACGAACAATCTTTCGGAGAATATCTCCAAGAGTCCTGTTCGTGATGACCATCAGTCTGAGGATGGTAAGACGAGGAGAAGCGGAGCTGGGTGCCGTACACCTCGTGGAGCCGTCACCAGAATCGGCTGGTAAAGCGCGGGTCACGGTCAGATATGATGCTCAGAGGTAAGTCGTGGTCACGCACGACTCGGTCAAACACGATGTTGGCGACCTCACGTGCACTGATGGCATAGCGGCACGGAACAAAGCGCGCACGCTTCGTGAAGCGGTCGACGACGATCAGGATAGCATCATGACCGCGGACCGATAAAGTCCATCGAGATGGACTGCCAACGACCCTCAGGGATAGGAAGAGGCTGGAGCAAACCATAAGGAAGGTGGTTCGCACTGTTCACCTCCTGACAGGTGGGACACTCTGCGACGTAGTCCTTCACAAAGTCCTTGCGCTTCGACCAGACGTACAGGCGGCTCACACGAGCCAACGTCTTGTGGAAGCCCATATGACCGACGACTGCCTGGTAATGAAACTCTGCTACTGCTCGGACACGTAGTTGTCCAGTGGAGGGAACACAAATATGGGGCTCTCTGGTGCCCTGTGAACCATACTAGTACACAAGACCGTTGTCCCCGAGAGAGTAGTTCGGGACGGTCTTGCCACTCCGAAGGGTCGCGTGGATGTCGCGATAGTCGGGGCAGTGGAGGTACTGAGTGCGAAACTCGTCAATCACCGAGTGGTGGACGGTGGTGACCGAGATGGAAGAGAGCTAGATTTGCTCCTGGTCGTGGTCAGGGCGCCAGGATAAGGCATCTGCGACCCGATTAGTCTCACCCTTGATGTGCTCAGTGGTGAAACAAAACTCGAATAGGTCGCGCCACCAGCGAGCCTGTCGAGGAGTGAGCTTCGGCTTTGTCAGAAAAGCCTGGACAACAGAGTTGTCTGTGCGCACCGTGAACGGTGCCCCGTGCAGGTAGTGACGCCAGTGCCGAGTGGCATAAACTACTGCGAGAACCTCACGTTCATCAGCAGTGTAGTTTATCTTGGCGAGCAGAAGCTGACAGGAGTAGAAGGCTATCGGACAATCACCTGAGCGAGACTTGACAGTGCCGTCCTCGGCGATGGTAGGAGAATAGTCAATAGAAGGCTCGTCAGTAGTTGGATGAGTAGGCGTCAGTCGGGAAGCAGTGGTAGGGGTAGGTGGTGGGAAGCGAGGGATACGAGGATTAGAGGAATCAGGAGAGGAGGGGAAAACCTGAGAAAGCACTGCTCCTACAGCAAAGTCTGACGCATCGGTGGTAAGGATAAAAGGAAGATCAAAATCGGGTAGGTGAAGAACCAGTGCGCATGTCACCGCCTTCTTGAGGGCGCGGAAGGCGTCCTCGTGGATGGGTGTCCAAGCCCAAGGTGGGTTCTTCCGGAGGAGGGTGGAGGCAAGGACGTAGGAATACCTAGCGTATCCCTGGATGAAATTACTATAATAGCTGGTCAGGCCTAGGAAGTTGCGAAGGTGCTTGGCGGATGTGGGAGCGGGCCACTCCCCAATAGCAGTGATCTTCGCGTCGTCCATGTGGAGACCTTGGTCAGACACGTAGTGTCCTAAGAAATCCACTTTGTGCTGGGCAAAGCGGCACTTGCTCAGCTTGGTGTAGAAACCATGTCTACGCAAGCAGTCAAGGACGTCGCGGAGGTGTCTGAGGTGCTCCTCAAGGGTACGACTGTAGACCAGGATATCGTCGAGGTAGACGAGAACGTACTGCTCTAGGATGTCCCTGCTGATGTCGTTCATCGCCCTCTGGAAGGCAGCAGGTGCGTTGGTGAGGCCGAATGGCATCACCGTAAACTCGTAGTGGCCGAAGCGCGATAGGAACGCTGTCTTCGGCTGGTCGGCTGCAGCGACGCGGATCCGATGGTAACCGTTACGAAGTTCAATCTTCGTAAAGAAGCGGTTGCCTGCTAGGCAGTCGAACAGCTCATCGGAACGAGGCATGGGGCAACTGTTCTTAACCGTGTGGCGGTTGAGGCTGCGATGGTTGATGCAGAGACGGAGAGTTCCATCCGCTTTGCGAGCAAAGAGGACGGGTGCACCCCACGTGGAGTTGTTGGGTTTAATGAAACCCAGTTTCAGGAGCTCCTCGAGCTAACGCTCGGGTTCGGTGGCCTCGGGGATCGAGAGTCTGTAGGGTGTCTGGTGGTGAACACGATAGTCAGGCACAAGCTGGATGGATTGCTCGACGTCGCGCATCAGTGGGATGCCAGCGTACGAGAACGACGATGGGAAAACGTCGTGGTACTCTCGAATGAGGTCACGAACTGCGGGCTCCAAGTCGACCGTATAGCGTGCGAGTTCCTCAGCGTCAGCATCGGCACGCGACGACGGGGCGGACTCGACGGATGGCGGAGGGTGGGAAGTAGAGATGGGACCCATGGAGATGGAAGGAGGATCTGGCTCCTGAGGGATGAGCTCGGCGTCGGGACAGGGTGGATCATAGTGTAAGAGATCCGTCACGTTCACCATAAAGAAGGTGACGTCGTCCTGCCGGATGAAGTGGGCGCACTGCCGAGGCGAGGTGACCGTGATAGAAGGAGATGGTGTGGGCACGGAAGGCTCCGAGGGAGGAGGATCGGGGCGTGGTGTCACGGTGGTACCTACGAAAGGTACGCGATACGTCTGTCCACACTTCGTTTTGAGAGAGAGTGTTGGTCGCCCAAACGGCCTCAGTGTTGCGGAACCGACGAGACCACGGAGTGCCGAGAATGAAGTCGTACCCCGTCTCCATCACATCGAAATGTGCAGAGGAGCGGTGGCGACGAGACGCCGGAGGACGATCAGTCGGCTCAAGAGTGAGGAAGAAGGGGAGGTCGGTGATCGTCTGATCGAAGAAGCGCTGGGTCTTGTCATCCCCTAGGGTAACGGAGATGGGAGTCGGAGACCTTGTCGTGGGTAAGCGGGCTTCTTTCACCACACGTGGGTGAATGAAGTCGCCCTGAGAACCGGAATCCCACAGCACTGAGTACACCCTCGTGGAGGTCCCGAGTCGTACTGAAATGATCAGGAGGGTGCGATCAGGGTCAGAGAGGATGGTGAGAAGGCGACGCAGAGCGGCGACATGGAGGGTGAGTCGCTCCTGACGAGCTTGGAGCATGCTAAAGTCCACAAGAGAGGACACAATGTCCTCGCAAGTCGCAAGCCGCTCGCAGCAACGGGCTGAGCGAATGGCTCGACACGTCGGTAGTCGTGGCGGGCAAGGAGGGAAGACGGTGGTCTGCGAAGACGCAGACGGTACTTCGACAGAGGGCTCAGTACACTCTGTCGAGTCTTGCGATACCTCAACTCCAGTAGCGAGAGGGGCGAACCGCAACGGAGATGTCGGGAAACCCACTACTGAGGAGGGCGCAGGTGTACACTGCACCGTGGCTAGGAGGCGCCGCGGGGATGCGAGGCGCCGGGGGGGGACGGAGCACGACGCTGGCAGGAAAGGTCAGCGTAGTGGCGGTCAAGGGCGGTAATGTAAGTGCACCGCGAGGAGGTATGACCGTCCTGACGGCATCGCAAACACCCATGCCGGCCCAAAATAGCCGCGCGCTCCTCAGCGGAAAGGACACCGTGAGGAGGGACAAAGCCCTGAGGGAGGTCCTGCTGAGGGACCTCGGGGGGTGACGCGCCAACGTGACCAGGGCGGTTGCGTGCCCGGGAAAGGGTGGAGAGGATGAGTTGGAGGCGCTCAGCCATAGGGAGAGTTGAGTCCTCCAGGTGGTGGTGGACGGCCTCGCCGAGGTCGAGGTCGTCACTATGGTCACCCTCTGGCGACAATGGGGCACCATCGTCCTGATCACCATATTCGAGCGCGCTGAAGCGGCGCGAGAAGTGGCGGCCCTGCTGCGCGGAACGACGAGGGCGACCGCGGAAAGGGGAACGGCGCGGGGAAGTGTCGTGAGTGGAGGAGGAGGCGTAACCAGTACGATGGGGCTGGGAGGAGGGGGTGGGGTGAAGACGGGCCCGCATCCGCTGATGGTCCCTGGCGGCCTCATAAGCCTGCGGGGCCGATGTGAACTCATACCGCCATAACTCGGAGCGGTACTCGAGCGGGAGGCTGGCCAAGAAAGGATCGATAAGGGCAGCCTCGGGGAGGAACGCCACGTCACAAATGAGGCGGGCGTCCTGAAAGACCTGGATGTGGCGATCCAGAGCGGTAGCGCCACCAGAGCCGGACCAGCATGTAGTGACGACATGCTCGAAGGCGTCAGTCACGTCGTATCGGGCTCCGAAGCGATCCTCGAGGAACGCCTGGAAATCCATGAAGGTCGGAGTCCGACCCTCACGAAGGGAGTAAGCGTAGAAATCCTCCCAGGCGTCGAAAGGACCGCCACGCAGGCGGGTGGAGAGGTGACCCACCCACGTGTCGGGTGTGGCGCCCATGAGCTGGAGCGTGCGGGTGGCAGACTGCAGCCACCGAGACACGCGTATGCCTGCACCGTCATACAGGGCAATGTACCGTCCTACAGGGCAATGTCCGACAAGCGGACGAGTGGTGCGCCACCGTTTTGGGGGCGAGGGGATTGAGGAGCAAAGGCCTGTGCCACGGCTGAGTAAGTCGGCGCAGGTCCTGGAGAAAGGGGCGCAACTGACTGTGCGCCCGGGCCGTATGGGGGAGCGACGGGGGCAACTGCGGCAGGCTGCGAGGGAGCTGCGGTAGAAGAGGTCGCAGCAACCGCGGGAGTAGGAAGAAGGTAGGATGAGGCTGGATAGGGTGCAGGGTGCGGGAAGCGAGCCTGCATGGGAGGAAGAGTAGAGGAGGTAGGGGGTGCGCCCGAAGGCACGGCCACCTGTGAGGGTGGGGGTGGCTGAAGGCGTAAGAGGGCGAGGTCGGCCCGGATCTGGGCAAGCTCGTCCTCGAGGCGTTGGACGTGGATCGAGCGAGAAGTGGCAAGAGGAAGATTGGAGGAAGTGGACGCACAAGAGGCGCGGGGCATCCCAAAGGGGGGAGAGCCAGGTGGGGCTGCGGTCGTGCGAAGGGGAGGGAGAAGTGGGGCACCCGGAAAAGCTGTGACCATGGTAGCGGGTTGTGGTACCGTGTCCGTAGTGACCGGGATCTGGGTGGGTGCGCCAGTAGACTGAGGGAGGTCCTGGCTCGTGGCGGCCGTCGTGCTAGGGGCGTGGACAGTCACCAAGATGGCCGGGTCGGGGGCAGCGGAGGAGGGAGCTCTGTCGTGGCCACCCTGTCGGAGGACGGGGGGCCCGGACTGGGAGCCAGGAGATGAAGGGCAGGCAGCGTCCTGGAGTTGCTGCATGCCAGCAGCAAGTGTCGCCACCTGCGCCTGTAAGGGCACGAGGATCGCGAGTTGTGCCTGAATGGGTGCGAGGAGGGAGGTGATGAGGGTGTGCAGATCGCCCTGGGGCTGATGGCCCTGGTCCGCCGGCACGGGTGTGGAGCCCGATGCCGTGGTTGTCGCCGCGTCGGCAACGTGTGACACACCGTCGGCCATGGGAAGGTGACGGGCCGGACTGGAGGGGGCCAGAAGAGGTCCGCGTGAGCGGAGGGTGTAGGGGGGGGTCCGCGGTAGAAAGCGGCGGACGACGCTAGCAAGGCTAGCACGGGCGCCGTCAAAGGGGGAGGGGTGGTTCGGGTCCAGGGTGCCCGAAGAGGAAGGGGAAGTAGGGGGGGTTTGAAGAACCCTAAACCCTAGAAAAACCCTAAGAAAACCCTAGCCGAAGTTTGAGTGGTTAGGGTAGGGTACCGGTGACCTAATCAAGAAAATAAAATAGCAAGCATAGGGGGCGGAGGCGGGAGAAAAATAAATAAGCAGCGAGATGTCAAGAGAAAAACAAAAGAAAATAAATAATAAAAATAATTAAGGGAAGAAGTAAACAAAATGTGAAAAGAAAAATAAGATTTATTTTTTTGAAATTTTCGGCAGCATTTCCCTACCCCCCATGGGGTCAAGAATGTGCCAAAGGGAAAGGAGAGATCTAGATAAGCGCACTAGGTTTCAAACTGCCGCAAATTAAAAAATTCAGAAAATAAATAAAGAAATAATAAATAAATAGATAAATAAATAAATAAGCTAGGTTACCAGTCGTCAGATGGCCGGACGTCTCGGCCGGACGTCTCCCCCAACCGTTCGGTAGGGGGGTTGTCCAGGATCCCGGACAATCACTTTTTGACATTAAAAAAAAAAAAAAAAAAAAAAAAATGACAGTAATGCGCATGCCATAGAGACCCCCCATAAAAAAATTTAGAATTTTCTGAGCATTTGGTGATAGGGTGCTATTTGGGGTGGGAGGCGGGGGTATGAGGGGTTTTAGTGGGGATAGGAGGGGTATAGGTGGGGATTATAAATTTTGAAGATTTTTATCTTTTTTTCTACTGGCTCAAATGAGCCAAAATTTTGGTGGCATACACCTTATGCAAGGTAGAAGCCACATGACTTTTTTTTTTTTTTTTTTTTTATTGCGCTAGGTCGGACAACCCCTGTTCGGTCCGACGTCCGACCAGACTTCCGGTTGGACATCCCGGACGGTCAGGGGGGTCCCGAACGTCCGGTAAAACAACCTAGTAAATAAGTAAATAAGTGGATGAGGAGGTGGGGAGAAATGGAATATCTGACTTTTCGAAAATTTTGGCAGCATTTCGTTACCCCCATGGGGTCGAAGTGTGCTGAAAAAGTAAGAGAAAATCAGAAAATTTCGGCAGCACTTCGTTACCCCCATGGGGTCAAAACGTGTGCCGAAAGCAAGAAAATGAGAAAAGAAGGTGGGGAAGAAGATAATTCGAATTTTTGGAAAAAAGAGAAAAGATAAATCGAAAGAGAGATATAAAGAAGAAAAACAGAAAAAATTCGAAGTAGGGGGGAAGGGGAATGAAAAAGTGAAGGAGAAAATAAAGAAATAGGTGGGAGAGAGAAAAAGATGGAAGTGGAAGGTGGGGGGATGATGTGGTGGTAGTTGGGGGAGAGGAGGGTTGGGGAAAGGTGGAGAGGGATCGAGAAGCAAGGAGAAAAGGAGGACGAAAGAAAATAAAAGAAATAAGGAAAAGAGAGTAAAAGAATGGGTGTTGGGAGAAAGGTGGGGTGGGGAAGGTAAAAGGAGGAGAGAAAAGAGGCAGTAGAAGGTGGGGGAAAGAGAAGGGGTGAGTAAGAGGAGAGAGGAGAGGTAGGGAAGGTGGGTTAGTAGAGGGAGGGGAGAGAGAGAAGAGATACCTGGCCCTTGGTGTCTCCAAGGGCACAAGGTATACCAAGACCAGGAGGGTCTTGGCCTTTGCTGCAGCAAGCCAGCTGGAGGAGAGAGGGGGCTGAGATCTTGATCAGCCCCTAGCAGTTCTGCAGATTGGCAGATCTAGGGTCTGCTGTCTGAGCAGGCCCTCACCACTGTAGAGCAGCTCCTGAAACGGGGGGTCTCCAAGTCCACAGTAAGCTGCCACGTGGCACTGCAGGTGGCCACGTGCACAGGCAGC